CCTGAATCCCTTAGCAGTAGCTGTAAGACCCTACATCCTTGAAACATGACCCTCAACCCTAAACAAACTTGAACCCTTAACCACTCTTAAAATCCCTTAAACACCCTTAAACACCCTTGACCACCCTTAAAACACCCTTAAACACTATAAAACACCTTCAAACACCCTTAAACACCCTGAAACCCTACACATCCTTGAAACCCTAAACGCCTAAACCCCAAACCCAAAACCCGAAACCCTAAACCCGAAACCCTAAACAGACCCTCAAACCCCCAACGAGGAGGTGGCGAGGCGGACCCTGGCCGCACAGAAGGAGGCGCCACCCCACTTTGCAGTGGCGGTTGGGTCATAGGGTTCAGGGCTTGGGGTTTTGGATTGGGGTTTAGGGTTTAGGGTTCAGGGTTCAGGGTTTAGGGTTTAGAGTTTAGGGTTTAGGGTTTAGGGTTTAGGGATTTAAGTTTAGGGTTTTAGGGCTTTAGGGTTTTAGGGTTTTAGGGTTTTAGGGTCTTAGGGTTTTAGGGTTTTTAGGGTTTTAGGGTTTTAGGGTCTTAGGGTTTTAGGGCTTTTTTAAAGGTTAGACTTCGGGGTTTGGGGCCATGTGGGCCTTCCAGGGTTTTGGGCTTTGCAACCACCAATGCACCCTGAAAACGTACTTTAGTTTCTATAAGTAATACAATTACTATCATTACGATATTCATTATTAAAGCTACAGCTAGAATTAAAATCTATATTTGTGAATGTCATACACTTCTGATATTTTCTTATAACTATATTGTACTTAGATTCTAACTCGACTGTACCTGTATTGTAATTTCTATCGAATTTGCATGATAAGACTTATATGAGAGATGTACAATAAGTATAGCGCACATACAGGCGCTGAGGCACGCGCACAGCAAGAAGCGGTGAGGCACGCTGCTCAGATTGGCCTGGCGAGAGCGGCGACGCTCCCAACCCAAGGCAAAACTCCGGCACCGTTCGCCTCGCAAGCTGCAAGAGCTGGGTCGAAGCGCTTCACAATCCCGTCCAAAGGGAAACCGACACCAATCTCCGGTCAAGAACCGAGACAAACAAACCGCTTAAACCCCGCGCTTTGAAGGCATCCCTCATGGCTTTCCTCACCAAGGCGATCATAGTCACCACCGTGGGTGGCAAAGGCAAAAAGGGCATTAAGCTGGATGAAACCCACTTCCCCCCCAAAACAAGAAACAGCAAAACCAACAAATCCCTCACAGTATCACGAAAACGATTTCCAGCAGTGATACCTGGAATGCCGTCTCTCCCAAAGCATCTTGATTGAACACAAACTCACAAACGCTCAAAATGAAATTACTAGGGCCAGCTCTCACTGCTATCACCAGCTGGCGCCCGTGTGTCAGCTGCCAACTGACTCAAGCACAATGGGCTCCATTTCTGGTTCACATCGGGGTCACCACGTGGCCAGTCACGTTCCAAGGTATTACCTGCGCTGAACAAGATGGCCCGCAAGGATCTTATGGCGTGCAGCCTTCGTTCATGAAAATCCTCGGCCTCTCGAAAAGCCTCCAGGAGAGCTTGAGGTCTGTTACGGTTAGCGATTCATATAACTATCAGATGATTCTATTCTAATTCAAATAGAAGTAACTATAAATATAATCGTAAAGCCATCCCAGAGTTCTTGCCGCCCACTCAACCCCAGACCCAGAACCCTAAACCCCTAAGCCCTCACCCTGAATACTCCTAAACCCTCAGCGCTAACCCTGAATCCTAAACCCTAAGCCCTAAACCCTAAACCCCTTAGGCCCTCAATCCCTAAACCCCAAACCCCTAAGCCCGGCCCTCAAGCCTGAATCCTAAATCCTAGGATCCTAAACCGTAGAGCCTCAACATGCCCCAGGCGGCCAAGTCCTCGACCACCCGGGCGCCCAAAGGCCAGGAAGATGGCACGCCGTACTTAACAATCGGTATATGGGAGGGTGTAACCCTAAACCCTAAACCCTAAACCTTAAACCCTAAACCCTAAACCTTAACCCCAAAGCCTACACCCTAAACGCTGTAGGTCGCTGCTCATTGTCTAGGTTCCGTTTCCTCAAAGGCAGGGGGCCGCCTTCTGTCAGGGACCCAAAACGGGGTCCGAAACTCATAGAACTGACATACTCCCGAACCCTGAACCCCAAAACCCTAAGCCCTGAACTCCCAACACTAAGCAGAGGGGCAAAAGCTGGTGACCACAATTCCATTTCCATAAGCATCGCTACATTAGTTAAACATTAAACCCCCAAGTCTATGCCTTCGGCCCCATGAAATCCTAAACCCCTTTCTCTCCTTGACTGTTCCAACTCCGAGGACCTCGATCTAGACAACAGCCCCAGATCCCAACTAGGGCTTAGGGTTTAGGGTTTAGGGTTTAGGGTTTAGGGTTTAGGGTTCAGGGTTCAGGGTTCAGGGTTCAGGGTTCAGGGTTCAGGGTTCAGGGTTCAGGGTTCCGGGTTCCGGGTTCCGGGTTCCGGGTTTAGGTTGTTTAAGATGTCGACACTCTATGCCAGCTGCTTTTGAACTATGGTAAAGGGCTTGCCTCGGGCTTAGCCTTGGGTGGTCGAGGGTGTATTTTGCCTTTGGGGATGGAGGGTTGCCGAAACCCTAAACCCTAGCTGAACCCTATACATCCGAAAGCCTTGCTGTTCAGAAATCCGCCCGGTCTGCGACGAGCAAAATGAGAGCCTGCTGTGTGCTGAGTCAGACGCGCTGGCCTCGGGCTTTCCAGAACAGGCTTGCTTTGGGATACAGATTTAGGGTTTGGGGTTTTGGGCGTTCGGGAATAAAACCAATTGCTAGGGGTTTATGGTGTTTGGGGCTTAGAGTGGGTTCTTCGGGGTACAAGTAGTAGTGGGGCAGGGAACCCCCAATTGGTATAGCACATGGCTGCATGCTGGTGCAATCTTTGAGCGGTCGCGCGAGGAGCTGTTCAACATCTCCTCGCCTGTTGGGTAGTTGTGTATTGTATCGTCCCAAACCCTACAGACCCTGACGCCTGAACCGTTACTAAAATGCCTGAACCTGGTCACCCCAAACCTTTAAACCCTAAACCTTAAACCCTGCACCAGAGAAAAAGCTAGGCAAGTAGCGGGCATCCTCCCCGAGCTGCCCAAAGCCTGCCTGAAGCCCCCCAAGGCTCTTCCAAAACCGAGGGCCCACGTGAACTCTACGTAAGCCCTAACCGGCCCTAAACCCTCAGTAGGGTTTAGGGTTGAGGGTTGAGGGTTGAGGGTTGAGGGTTGAGGGTTTTAACCCCTAAACCTTAAACCCGAAATAATCCCTGAAGCTTGAAGCTTTAGACCTGAATCCCAAGCCCTAAACCCTAAACCTTAAACCCAAAGCCCTAAAGCCCCACAGCCGTAAACCCCCAGACCCTAGTCCCTGAACCCTAAGCACCAAGCCCCCTAAACCCTATACCCTAAACCTTAATCCCTCGACCCTAAACCCTCATCCCTAAACTGAAAACCCTCACCCGAAACCCGAAACCCTAAACCCTAAACCCTAAACTTAAAACCCAGAGGGGCCTTCCCGCCCAGGTGGAGCATGCCCTCCTCGACGAGGCTCAGTGTCAGGCAGGGGACTTGTGGAAGTTTGGGTTTGGGGTTTAGGGCTTGGGGTTTGGGGTTTAGGGTTTGGGGTTTGGCGTTTGGGGTTTAGGTTTGAGGGTTTGAGGGTTTGAGGGTTTGAGGGTTTTAGGGTTTGGGGGTTTGAGGGTTTGAGGCTTTGAGGGTTTGAGGGTTTGAGGGTTTGAGGGTTTGAGGGTTTGAGGGTTTGAGGGTTTGAGGGTTTGAGGGTTTGAGGGTTTGAGGGTTTGAGGGTTTGAGGGTTTGAGGGTTTGAGGGTTTGAGGGTTTGAGGGTTTGAGGGTTGAGGGTTTGAGGGTTTGAGGGTTTGAGGGTTTGAGGGTTTGAGGGTTTGAGGGTTTGAGGGTTTGAGGGTTTGAGGGTTTGAGGGTTTGAGGGTTTGAGGGTTTGAGGGTTTGAGGGTTTGAGGGTTTGAGGGTTTGAGGAATTTTTGAGGGTTTGTGTTTTTGAGGGTTTGAGGAATTTGAGGGTTTGAGGGTTTGAGGGTTTGAGGAATTTGAGGGTTTGAGGAATTTGAGGGTTTGAGGAATTTGAGGGTTTGAGGAATTTGAGGGTTTGAGGAATTTGAGGGTTTGAGGAATTTGAGGGTTTGAGGAATTTGAGGGTTTGAGGAATTTGAGGGTTTGAGGAATTTGAGGGTTTGAGGAATTTGAGGGTTTGAGGAATTTGAGGGTTTGAGGAATTTGAGGGTTTGAGGAATTTGAGGGTTTGAGGAATTTGAGGGTTTGAGGAATTTGAGGGTTTGAGGAATTTGAGGGTTTGAGGAATTTGAGGGTTTGAGGAATTTGAGGGTTTGAGGAATTTGAGGGTTTGAGGAATTTGAGGGTTTGAGGAATTTGAGGGTTTGAGGAATTTGAGGGTTTGAGGAATTTGAGGGTTTGAGGAATTTGAGGGTTTGAGGAATTTGAGGGTTTGAGGAATTTGAGGGTTTGAGGGTTTGAGGGTTTGAGGGTTTGAGGGTTTGAGGGTTTGAGGGTTTGAGGGTTTGAGGGTTTTGGGCACTCCAACGGTTCTTTGGAGACACTCGTTAGGTGTAGTTTTGCATTGTGACAACCCTTGCATTTTAACATCATGTGCATATCGTCCCGTTGCATTACCTCGCAAGCCCTCTGCAGTAGAAAAATAGAGCGTAGCTCCTGCATGGCTTAACGGTTTGGTTGCCTCAGTGCTTGTGATTACAACCTGGTATTTCCCTGATAACTATAGGTTATCAGCCGTATAGCCTACAATGCTTGCGGATGCGAACCTGGAGAATGCTTCACCTGAACTTGTACCTGCCGAAGAAGCAGCTACAGGACGTACAGGACTACCTCTGCTGCTCCCGGCAACGGGAAGCCGAGCAGGGGCACAAGAGACGCATCTAGGTCAACAGTCGTACCCTCAAGCAGTGAACTTCGCTAACATGTCCATGCATGATGGTCGGAACCTCAGCGTGGCGGCGAACTTCTTTTCGCAGATGAATGTGTTTCATGTTCATGATGAGAACAGAGCACGTCTCAGGACGGAGCTAAGTTTCCTAGAGATTGAAGCGGAGAGAAGGCACACACTGGCCATGGAAGAACAGGCCCGTGCAAATGAACAAGGTGTTTCGAATCTTGAGGAACTCGCCGAAAGAGTACATGCTACTCGAATGGCATCGTGTGAAGAGCGATTCGCAAGGTTCGAGCATCGGTCAGCCACCAGGGAACTTGGACTTATCGAAGAGCTTGACGAAATGCAAGCCCGATTTGCAAGCATTGAGCAAAACGTTTCACAATCAGAGGCGCTTCTCGCTCAAAGGATGCAAGAGCAGTATCATCAACAACTCAACAGTTTTGCTGCACAACAATCGCAGTTCTTCCTCTCGGAGTTCGAAGAAAACTTCCAGGTCTACCAAAGAACCGAAAGGGAAGAATTCGATGCGATGCTGGATGCTGCGAGAGAACAGCAAGACGAGATTGAGGACAAGCTGTTGGCCACCGAAAGGGCACTAAGGTTCGCAGAAGAATCGCAACAACAACAAGCCCCTGCGTTTCCTAGTGCACCTTCTACACCAAATGTGGTAACGCCAAACATGTTGAGCTCTAGCATGCGAGGACTCCTGGCCCAGATGAATCCAGGTAACACAACTGCACAACAGCCCCAAGCTGGTGCAGCTGCAGCGCCCTCAGAAGGACAGACGATCGGTGGACCGGTCAGTGCGAATGCGGCTGGCTTAGCCCAGCCTGCAGGACCCACTGCAGGACCCTTGACGACCCCTCCAGGTCTAGGAAATCCTGCAGCACCCGTAACCGGGATGCCGGCCACTGGTCTGACCTCAGAAACACTGCTCGCTACTCAGGCAGCAATCCTCGAAAACCTTCGCCTCATGAAAGGTGATAGGACCGAAGACGACAAGCCAAAGGTAAAGGAAGCCGAGAGCATTAGGTTGCCAGACTTCCCAAATCCCGAAACGTACAGATCGTGGAAGACTGCGACCCGTGAAGCTATACGTGCGGCCAGCGATAGACCCGATGATGCTTTCGATTGGATCCTTGAAGTTTATGACAAGAATGCATCACACGAAAAGCTAAGGGAGCCAGGAAAGTTTGTGACTCTCGACACAAAGCTGCTCGCTGCACTTAGTAAGGTCGCAAAGGGAGACCTCGGAAGACACATCCTGAACTTCAAGGAAACCGAGGCCGCCCAAAAGAGATCCGTGAGGTACCTCTTCGAACAACACTTCAAAACTAATGAAGAAGTGGGCTCGCTCTACTCAGTTGAGGACCTTTTGAAGGTTAACATGGTTGGAGACGATCTCACATCCTTCCTTCACAACTGGGAGAGTGTCATTGCAGGGATGAGCCATGTCCCTGAGGAAATGGTGCTACGAGACATTCTGCTCAGACAGATCAGGAAGTCAAGTCGTATGAAGTACGACTTAGAGATTTACGACCGTGCCAAGGAGGGATCCGCTTCTCACACCTACTCCTTCCTTTTGCAGTCGATTAGGGACTTGCTTACCAGGGAAAGGGTCAGGAAGAACCGAGACAGGATCGCCAAGTCCCATGGGGACAAGTTTGGGGCTCCTGCCCCGACGCGCCCGTCTCGCCCCTCCAGCCGAGGAGGCCGTGAGAGAGGTAGATCGCCATCTAGGAGCACGAGTCGCTCGCGTAGCAGCAATGCCAGCTCCCCAAAGAGGTCAAGCAGCCCGAAGGGAGTGTGCTACGACTTTCTGAAAGGTACCTGTACTCGTGGTGACAAATGCAATTTCCTCCACAAGACTAGGTCCCAATCGCCGAATTCGAAGAAGCCTGACAAAGCCCCAAAGATCGGAGGTAAAATACAGCGTGTCTGTACTTTCTGGAAGAAAGGGAAGTGCAACAAGGGCGAGAACTGTCGCTTTCTCCACCAGGAGAAGTCAGCCGCAGCTGCGAAAGCTAAGGCGGCTGCCGCCACCCCTGATCCCACCAATCCTAAGCCTAGATCCCCCTCGCCCGCTCCCAGGAGACCGAAGAGCCGAGGTAGGTCTAAGAGCAGGGACAAGGCTGCAGCGTGTTGCCTCGCAGCACCTGCTGTGCAGCCAAGCCCTTTGGAGGACACATGGGAGGTCGACTTCAAGGGTGGAGTGTTAATCAGACACCATCGCGTGGAGAGAACAGGCTGGTATGCCCCAGGCAGCGACTGCCCGATCAATGTCCGGCGACTTAAAAGCAAGGTTAGGGTAGAGAAAAATTTCCCAGAGTACCCTCGCTTTGCTGCAGTGGCATGGAACTGGAGGAAGACTGCCCCGGAACCCTCCTCTAGGGCCTGGGTAGGCAAGTCTACTTTCAAGATAGAGCCACTGAAGGTCACCTTCTGTGAAGAACCTGTCATGAAGGCCATTCCTGTTGAAGGCGATGGTTTCAGGCACATCAGGAGGAAACGTCGTTTCAGCGTGGCTTACGCCAACGCCGAGGACTGCCCCAAGCCGAGCATGAAAGAACAGAATCGTGCCAGGATCGAAGCTAAGCAACTTGAGGCATTGGTGATCAGCATGATGAACGATGTACCTACCAAGTGTGGTTACATGTGTGAAGACCTGACATGTGAGTCATGCGAACGCACCCCCGCACCTGCCTGCTCAGGCATAGTGCCCGGCCTAGAGTTCCTAGCTGACACTGGTAGCGAAGAAGACCTCATTAGCAAGGAGGATCTTAGGATTCACTATCCGAGCGTCGAGGTCAAAACTGCATCAAGACCTGTGAGTCTAATCACAGCGAACGGCCCAGTACTTGGGGATCAATCTGTCAAAGTCGATATCCCTGAACTGAGCCTCCCAGTTGAATGTTATCTACTGGAAAGCACTCCTCCCGTTTGCTCCGTCGGGCGAAGATGCATGGACGAGGGTTATGACTTCCACTGGCATGCGGGGAAGGTCCCTTTCTTTGTCACTCCCGACGGCAGGAAGCTGAAGTGCAAACTCAAAGGCAGGGTCCCTGTGATCGCAGAAGGCTCTGTTGCCACTCCAGCTATCGAAGAGGAGAGTAACATTGCCTCCCCGGTTTTCAGCCAGGGGGGCAGCTCGCTTTTTCAGTAGATAGCGGCCCTTGCGGGCTCGCCGGTGCTGCGCATGAACATCCCGCCGGTGAAGATGAACAAGACGAGGACCCGGGTAAGCACCTTGACCCTGAGGTCCGCGATGCAATTTCCAAGGTGCCGCCGATCGCCATTTCCAAAGAACAGCTAAGCAAAACGGGTTGGACTGCAACTGAAGAACACCGTAAGGTAATCATCGGACACAGACCCAAAGCCTTTAGGACTCCTGCGTCGAGACATCCTAGCTTCGTGGTCAGGACAACTTGGGTTTTCAGGGGAGGCGAATGGTCCAAGATCGAGGACAAGGTCGACATGAGAGAGCTACCGCAAAAGGTTGCTAAGTTCGAAGAGCCGACCATCCTTTCAATATCGATCTTCGAAAGACCGCCTGACAATCCCGAACCTGAACCTGATAGTGATCACGACGAAGCGCCCGATGACGTAGGAGGCTCCGAAAAACTTAGGCTGGAAGCCGAGACTGCTGCCCACAAATTCACCCATCGACCCAAGAATCCCTTCTGTAAAGTGTGCCAAAGGGCAAAAATGATGGCCCCTCATGCACGAAAGAAGGGAGGATCGAGCACTATCGCATCCAAGAAATTCGGGGACCATATCACGATTGACCATGTCATCACGAAGGACTTCCGAGACTTTGGGTTCGAGGGGGAAACGGTTGCATTCGTGGTTAAGGATGTCTGGTCCAACTTCAGGTATGTCTACCCGGCTGTTTCCAAGAACGCTGAGGAGTGCTACGAAAACTTGCTGCACTTTCTTCAAGTTGAGGACAGTGTCGGTGTAGTGTACTCCGATAATGCGTATGAGCTTGAAACTGCTGTTAAACGGATTGGCTGCAGGCACAATACCTCTCGAGCCTATGTTGACCAAAACAAGGCTGTCATCGAGAGAGAGATCAGGACTGTCCTCGAAGGCACTCGTGCCAACCTTCTCCAGGCGGGGCTTCCTGATAAGATGTGGCCTTTGGCCGCACAGCATCACACCATGGCCCTGAACACCTCGAAGCGATTCGACACTGAGACCGTTCCTTGGGTAGATCGTTTTGATGAGGATTTCAGTGGCCTCGCCATACCGTTTGGCGCTAGAATCATCTATTGGAACAATCCGAAGCAAAATGCTACAGGTAGCTCTAAGTTTGCACCTACCGGAGAGGAAGGCATCTTTCTGGGGTACCATGTTCAGCCAGGCTTCATCTGGAAGGATGAATACCTTGTAGCGCCCGTAAAGGGATGCCGTGATGCCCTCGAGAACGACAGCCTCAAGATCCTCCGAGTCAAACGCATGGAGCTTCCGCTAGGTGAACTTACCTTCCCTCTTGCTAGCCCTATCGAAGACAAAGGACCTCCGTCGCTTGATGATCAGAATTGTTTTGAGCAGCACAAGTCTACTGACCTCAACGAAGATGATCTCATCGAACAGCTTTTTGCCGACTACGTCCCTGAAGGAGAAGAGGACCCGTTGGATGAGCTCGATCGGAGATGCGCCGAAATCGATGCTAGGGAGAAGGAAAACAAGGAGGCGTAGGGGAACCAAAGCCTTTAGCTCCTCCCGAACCGAGCTCCAGTAGCGCCCCTGAATCTATCAAGCCAACATGGAAGCCTCACGATCCCAACAGAATGCCCGATGGTTCCAAGGTACCACAGGGGTACAATTGGGATGGTGTGAGACTTGTCCGAAACAGGAGGGGCTCCAAGAGACCTCCTGATACTCCCTCTGAGTTCTGGACCTCCATGTCTAGGACCCAGCGTGAGGCCGACATCGAAAGGTATCGCAGGAAGGTTGAACTTGAAGAAGCCGAAGAACAGAGAAAGCGTAGGGATGCTGCTCCAGCAATGCCCGTTGGACCTAGGGTCCAGGAACCTCATCGCGAGAAGCTCAGCCGCTTGTATTTTGATAAGCTCTGTGAGGTCGCTCAGCTCCAGTACGCACTTGTTGCTAGAGTTGTATCACAAAAGGAGATCAACAGCAACATTGATGCCCAAGCTGCACTTGACAAAGAGTGGCAGAAACTTGTTGATAAGCAGTGCTGGTTGTCCGAGAAGGTTCGTGAGTACTCCGATGTTGCTAGTGAAGCCCAGAAGAAAGGGGTGAAAGCACATTTTGGCAGGATCTTTGAGATTTGCAGCCTTAAGGGATCCGAACTACCGGAAGGGCACCCAGATCGCAAGTGGAAGGGTCGAAGCGTATTCCAGGGCAACCGGGTTTCCGACGAACACAACGATCATGCTATCTTTGCAGAACTCGGATCTAGCCCCGCTAGCATGGAGGCCGCAAAGGTGATTGACGTTTTCGGAAGTCAGCCCGGCTACAGCAAGCAGCAGGCCGATGCTCGCCAAGCATACACGCAGGCCCTGTTCAAAGGCGTTGAGACGTGGGTGAGGCTGCCTAGAAACAGGTGGCCAAAAGAGTGGACCAAGTACAAAGACCCAGTTTGCCCGCTGATGCTTGCTCTCTACGGTCATCCCGATTCCGGAGGGATTTGGGAGCAGCACTGTACGAAGCAGCTTACTTCTGCTGGGTGGGTCGCTGTATTGCCTGAGATATGGCAGTCCATTTTCTACCATCCACAACTTGATCTTCTTCTTGTTGTTTACGTCGACGACTTCAAGATGGCAGGCCCAGCCGAAAACATGAGCAGGGGTGGAAAACCATCAGCGACGTAATCGACTTAGATCCCCCTGAACCTTTTGGAAGGTATTTTGGGTGCAATCACTTCGAAGAGTCGAAGGTCATGTTGCCGAGGGAAGCACACCCATTCGCTTATGTCTTTGACAAGAAGGTGGCGACTCCTGCAGCTGGGGGAAACCCCAAGCCGGCTCGCAAGGAGGACTTTTGGGAAGTCGATCCAGAGTTAGGTGCTGTTGTGCGTCACCATCTCTACCCTCGAAAAAGGTTGTACGTTCCTGATGAACATGACGTTCAGCGTTTCCCGAACATTTCACCCGAAAGGTTCACTGAGGTCGAGGGGGGATCGGTTGTTCATGACAATTTCAACTTGCAGGGAGCCAAGCGCCAGGACACTTGGTGGACGGGCAGGACCTACTTTCCTATCACGACTGTGGAACCTGAAGACTTTGAACATGCCCTCGCCGCTAGATCTAAAACCGAAGCCAAGCGAGAGGCGAAGCAAAGCAAGTTTAAAGCTATGGACTCCATTAGTAAGGAAACAGTCGCAGCCATGTCCAAACCGGTGAATGTCATGACGTATGACATGAAGGACTTTCTCATCTCCTGCGTTGAAAGGTACTGTGAACTCGCAAAGGTCGACAGAAACTCCCTTGTGCACGCCCCAACTCCTTTTCACGAAAACCGCGTGGCTCGGCCCGTGGAAGGAGAAGAAGAGGGGGGCCGGTTGCAACCCATTGCCAGTCGGGTGCTCATGAAGGTTCTCTTTGCAGCCCGTATGGCAAGGTGGGACCTTCTGCGTGCCACTCAGAGTTTAGCCTCCAGGGTGACCAAATGGTCGCGAGACTGCGATGTCGGACTGCACCGCCTAATCTGCTACATTAACTCCTCTCTCGACCTTAAAATGCAAGGCTTCATTGGAGATCGCGTGAGTGACTGTAAGTTGTGGTTATTTTGCGACGCCGACTGGTCCGGGGAACATGACAACAAATCTACCTCCGGCTGTGCATTGTACCTGGTAGGGCCCAACACCTACTATCCTCTGAACGCTTTCTCGAAGAAGCAGACTAGCATTACAATGTCGAGTACTGAGAGTGAGGTCGTGTCGGCAAATCATGGTGTCAGAGCGCAAGGACTTCCAAGTTTAAGCTTATGGCTGTTCCTTTGGAAGCACATTACTGTTGATCCTGCCAGCCGCAAGGCTCGGCCGAAACAGAAGGCTCGTTTTGACACGGATGACATTGTCGCCAGAATCGACCCAGAGCTAGACGAAATTAGGTATGGCGGTAATCCTGAAGGACGTTCCGTTGCTGATCTTCAAGGCCTTAACGTTGCACTCAGTGACAAGTTCGCTGTGCAGGTTCTCGAAGATAACCAGGCCACCATCACTATCCTGTTGAAGGGTGACAGCGAAAAGCTAAGGCACACCGATCGCACCCAAAGGATCTCATTTGGCTGGTTAAAGCAACAATTTGAACGAAAGTTTTTCAACCTGGTTAATGCCGACACCAGCGAACAAGTTGCCGACATCTTCACCAAAGCCTTCGCCGAAAGGACCAAGTGGTTGCATGCACTTAGATTGATTAATCATGTGCTTTGCCCGGATCAGAATAAGTCTCCGAAAGGAAAAGATTCTGATAGCCACTTGGTAGCCAAACCCTCAATTTCAGCCACCGTTGCCGGTCGGCCGGATCCTGAGGCCTTGGCGGCCGAGGCACTGGAGAAGTCGGACTTCCGCAGCTGTACTGCGGAGAGAATCATTCAGGCATTACCAAAACGCATAAGTAGAACCAGGAAGAACAAGCTCGAGATTGACGAGGACTCGTACTATCACTCCTGGGGTTTGTACTGGTTCAGTGGAAAGCAAGGACTTACGCGCTCCACTACACAACACCCCAAAACCTGTCAGCTCCTCAATGCGTTCGTCGCAAGGCATGCAGGTCCTGACTTCATTTGGGCGTCCCTTGCAACGAGTAAGAATGCTAAGTCGAAGCTCCACACTGACAATCGAAACCTCCAGGACAGCACGAACCTTGCCATCCAATTCGGGGATTTTCAGGACGGAGGACTTTGGGTTGAAGGGCTTGGGAACCAACCTCAAACTAAACAACAGCTCCCCAATGGCTCGGAAATCTGGGGTTCCGTCTTCACTAAGAAGGACAAACCTTTGTTCTTCTCCCCGACTTGCAAACATGTTGTTCTCCCTTGGACTGGGAAAAGGTACTCCATCATTGCGTATACACCTCATGGATTTCCCCAAATCGGTTCGACCCTGTGCAAGCAGCTGCGACACTCGGGCTTCAGGTTAAGTCCAACTGCTGGTTCGCCGTCTGCTGCAGCCCGGCCTACGCCGAGGCCGGCTGCGCCCAAAGGCGTTGTAATTGTGTGTGGGGATACGTCCATGCCCAGGCTTCATGGAGTTACAACAGTCAATGTCCATGAGTTCACCGAAAACGAAGCCTATCGTACTGTCAGACAAGTCAAAACCCTCTGCGACGAGGGGGGAAGGGTACTTGTCTACGCGTCGCTGCCGGGTCAAGGCAGTGATAAGTGCTTTCGTTCGGTTAGGACTATTTCACGTTTGCTGAAAAACTACCGCATTGATGTTGTTTTGCATGTGCATGATTCTGTCAAAAATGAAGGTCTGCACAACTTTACGACACTTCGATGCCCACATCAGTTTGCACGCATTGGACATGACACTTTCATGTGCTCGTTTGCAGGGTTTACAGCAGAGACCAAGGTCAGAAATGAACCAGACGTGGTGCATGATCACAGCACTAAGGACGGCATCATTCAGAGCATCATTCATTCATGGAAGAGTGGTAAGCTCCACGACGTATGCCCGAAAGAAGTTGTAGACCTAAGTTCTCTTGCCTGTCCCTGCATTGCGGGTCGAAAGACCACGCCGAGCACAATGTCTGCCGCTCGCTACATGAAGGGCGACACCCCGCGTGAGGACTGTGCCTCACGGTGGATTGGCTCTTTGTGGAGGGCCGTGTTTGCTGAAGAGTTCCGTTTCAGCATTAACCCCTTCTACACCCAGGGCATCCGATACCTGTACAATGAAGTCCCGGTCCAGACAGCAGCGTCACTGGCCATCAAGGACAATTCTACAGTGTCGGATATTGCCCGCCTAACGGCTGTGGCCGATGAGGGTTTTGCCCTCCTGCAACCCGCCTCGGGAAGAGGTGGCATTCGGCAGCTGTTAGTCGTGGGTGACTCAACCCTCTACTTCAAGGCAGGCGCCAAAACAGCATCCACGATTGCTGAGGACCTTGAGGCAATGACCTCTATGGGGGCCCCTTTGGATCACTACGCCACGGTGCGAGTGCTGCCAATTTGGGGAGGTACCCTCCGGAAGATCAGGGACACCGTGGTCGAAACCTTCGACGAAATGGTGGCCCAGTTGCCCCCCGAACAGCAGAAGCAGCAGGTACTGGTTGTCTGGCAGGGCAACGAGCTCTTCGGCAACTATGGGGTCTTTATCCCCCCGGATCTCCAGCACTGGAACATGCCCCCGGAAGGCTACGCCGCTGAGGGCGATTGGTCGCAGATTGCCAGTGGAGTGTGTGGCAACATCCGACGAATCGCCGCCCTCAAGGGCAGGCCGTGCTGTGGAGCGATCTCGTTCACTGGACCTGGGCGTGCAACATATTATAGTTTGCCACACCAATGGGAGGAGACTATGAAAGTGTTGCTTTCTTACGCCAAGGGTCAGGGGTGCAACGTCTTCGAGTTTGCGAACATGGCTGGTGAGCTGCCCCTCTACGATGTGTACCACTTTCGGGAGGACAGGGAAAGCCGCAACCGCCTGGCAAACTACCTGGCAGCACTGACGGTTCTGGCCGCAGTGCAGGACATGGCCCAGCACATTCCGGAGGATATGCTGCAGGAGCTGGCCCGCGATTACCCCTTTCGCGAGGGAGGACGCTACAGAGTCCCTGTTGAGTTCGAGTCGGAATGGTCAAAAAGCACCGCCGGCTATCGCAACATGATTCGGGCACAGGCCTTCGATCTGGAACCCTGGGAGATGACCATTGCTCCAGACATCGAACCATATGTGGAACTCTCCCAAGAGGAGATTGCTCGCGAGACGAGCAACTACCGCTTGGGAGGCCACAAACAATGGCATCTAAGGCGAGATGCAGACGAGCGGTACCAGACCAAGGCTCGCGACGCTGATCTTGCGTCCCGAAAGGGAACGCCGGCTTCGAGCTCAAAAGACCCCGAACCCGAGGGTGAGGGAAACATAGAGCTCGACAGTCGCTCGTTTGAGCAGGTCAAGCGCCGAGCACCGTGGGTCGTCCCCTACCCCAAGGTGAAGTCGTCCAAAACCGAGAAGAGGGCTAGCCCTGCGAAAGCAGAGGCCGAGCCGTCTCTTTTCATTGACGACGTGGAAGACTACCACCTTGGGTGGTCCCGCTCAGAAGAACTCAATTTTGATGAGATGCGTGGAATCGACCGCAACGACTTCAACTCGATCCCGTTTGACGACCCCAGAATGGTCCATGTGCTTCAGTCAGAATTGAAGCCTGAAGAGGAAGCCGACATTCCCCATTACATGATGAAGGGGATCACTGGCTTGGTCAGGGGCCATCGCTCGGGGCGGTCGTGGGATCGAACATGGATGCTCGTTGACGAGCTCATCGACATCGTCTTGAAGCGGTACAAGGTTCTCTTAGGGACAAGAAGCATCTTCTCGATTGTCTATCATGACAACAAAGCGAGATTCTCACTTCGGTGTATGCCAGATGCTCTTCG